CCCCAAAACCCCAAAACCCCAAAACCCCAAAACCCCAGCTATTTAAAATACATTTTTTATAGCAGTATTCAAAATGTTTAAATAAATATTATTATAAATGAGGACCGAGATATAAAAATCAATCGATATTAAAATAAATTACTTATTAAATTGTTAGTCCCTTTGACAAACTAGCAACCCAAAGCCAATTTAGATGAACGAGATCTTACCCAAAAAGCGAGGCAGAAAGCCCAAGATAGGTACGATTTCATCAATTTCTTATTCAACTTTTTAATGATTAAATTTACAGCTATTTAATCGTAATTAATTGATGAAACCAGCGACAGTAAGGTAGAGTTAATAGTGCAAAACAAAGAAAATAACTAAAATATGAGTCTACCTATATCTCAAGAGACGTAAGTTTACAAACGTAGGAAGCTAGATATGACTCCCTCCGATGACCAATAAATACATGTAATTTATTCTAGTTTAACTCAACTCATCAGATTCAGGAAAATGCTCCAAACCCCCCACTTAAAAACTCTCACTAGGGTTTAACTACCACCCCACCAGATAGCACTAAACATCTATAAGGTATGTAAGAGGGTAAAAGTTCTGTCAAGGATCAAGAGACCACAGATGAAACGAAGCTCTTTGAGCAAAGATTAATGACCTCGGCAGATAACGAGGAAGAAAAAGAGTGCCCCAAAAAAAGAGGTCGAAAGAAGGGAAAAGGAAAAGAGCTCCAGGATCTCTTAGAATAATATCAGAGCATGAAAAGAATCCCAAGCCAACATATGAACTCTGAGGATTCGAACTAAAATGATGAAAATTCTCAAGAACAGAGTGAAGACCCTAATTAAAGTCAAACTCTTCATAAAAACCAACAAGACTCCCAAAGAAGATCTAGAAGGCAGCATTTGCCACAGAAATTCAAGACTTTCGATAATATAATATCAAGTCAGGAGGAAAAAATGATTAAACTTGCAATCAAAAACTCTCTAATTGAAAAAGAAAATAAAGTAACTGAATCATTAGAGGTGATAGAAGAAGTAAAAACTTTTTACCCGTCTCAAGAGGAGTTTAAGACTCCCCTCAAATATATAGAGAAGTTGTAGCAGTAGGGGGCATAAAAGTACGGAATTATAAAAATAGTTCCTCCCAAGGACTTCAAACCTTCGCTAGCTTTCGACCTTTTTTCTGATTAAAAGCTTCCATCCAGATTTCAAATCTTATAGGATCTAGCTTAGGGCAAGGTAAGTTAAAAGAATATTTCATAAAATTTACTTAAACTTTAAAAAAGTTTTTCAAATTTTCAAGATTCATTCTAATTTCAAATATAGCCCTTTAATTAAAATCACAGTGGTCATACCCTTTCTGAATTCGCCTAACTCAGCAAAAAGCTGGATGAACCTGATTGTGATCCTCACGACTACTGGGCTATAGAAAAGGAGTACTGGAAGTACGTTGAAAACTAGATGGGGCCTTTAATGAAGGTAGAGTATGCAGCAGATTTGAATGTTTAGTTGTATGGCTCTGGTTTTGGCCGCGAAGGTCAGTAAGTCTAGGACAAACGATCTGAAGAGTACCTAGATCACCCTTGGAACCTGAATAACTTGTATAAGCAGGAGGGCTCGCTCATGCAGTTTCCAAGGTCAAAGGATATTTCTGGTATAAATATTCCTTGGTTGTACGTTGGCATGAAATACTCCACATTCTGCTGGCATTACGAGGATTTAATGCTATATTCAATCAACTACAACCACTGGGGAAAACCAAAGCTTTGGTATGGAGTATCAGAGGATTATAGGGAGAAATTCGAAAAAGCTGTCAAAACGAAGGTGGCTTTACTGTTCAAAAAAGATCCTAATCTTCTTATGGACATTATAACAATGATTTCACCACATTATCTTGTCTAATAAAAAGTAAGTTTTATCAGATATCCCTTACGTCATTATTTATAGGTCAAAGTTTATAAAACACTATAAATGCCTGGTGAATTCATTCTCACTTTTCCTGGCGCTTATCATGCTGGATTTTCTACTGGTTTTAACATTGGTGAAGCTGTAAATTTTGTTACTAAGTCCTGGTTTGATTACGGGCTTAAGTGCCAAGAAATATATAGAAGAACAAGAGAAAAAATTCCTGTATTCCCAATGGACTGGCTACTGATAGAAAATATCTAAAACTTAGACAAAATTAACTTAGACTTAGAAACACGGCTTAAGTTAAAAGAGATTTATGTCAAGGTGTTTAGAGAGGAGAAAAAGCAAAGAGAATTCGTTGAAAGGTTCGTTAGAAGTGGCTATGGAGACAATGATCAAAACAAGTAGCCTTATCAAATTATGGCTTAGAGAGAAAATGTTCCTGAAGACCAACATTAGTGCAACTTTTGTACCGATTTCGCTTATCTATCAATGATTTACTGTACCAAGCACAAATTTAACTACTGTCTTTTCCATGAAATAATGTGTGGTTGTGGTCCTCACTAGATTAGGTTGATATATAGATTCACAACAAAGGAATTAGAGAAACTTGAGAAAAATATAAAGGATTCATGCAGCTAACAAGCCCCCAAAAACTAGATTTTACAAGCAAATATCAAAATAAAGAGCAAAGATACTGGTAAAAATGAAAAAGCTGGAATCATAAATCAAACAATCTTTGAAATCAATAATAACTATATCTAAAAACCTAGCTCTTCATAGGAAAAAGGATCTGCTAACGTCAGCAGCCAAAAGAGTGATTCTCTGATAAAAGGGTCAAATTAGCCTGAAGAATTGTAAAAGCTAATTCCAAAATAGTCACTATGAAATATTGATTTTATATTCTAAAGAACCAAATCTTCTGAAATATATGTTGGTATCAATGGCTAAGCAAATTGAAAATGATAAATGAATCGGCAATGTGTGTGCATATATACTCTAGCTCACTCCTCTAATAAGATAAATATACTGATTCACTTATAGTTATTAATTTTCAATATCTTTTAAGTTTTCATCTTTTTAAGCATATATAATGAGTCTCGGGGTTTTGGGGTTTTGGGGTTTTGGGG